CCTTTTTAAGTTTGTCTTTATGTACCTATGGTGGGAAAATGACTGACTTGATGACAAGATTTACATCCATGGGAAGCACAAGGAGAAACCGGTGAGATAAAACCGAGACAAATTTGTTTATTCCACAGATATACGTTATGTGGTTTGACAGGTGGATTCATTAACTCCACAATCTAATGTGGTAAACCCCTCCTGAAGCACACGCTGTAATCCCTGTGGGACTCTTCATAACTCTGCCTGCTCTGCTTGGTACACCCGAGGGCTGTAATAATCCCTAACTGTACTCCTAGAGCTCATATTTCTTCCCCTGCTTGTCTACTCCACTGTCTTCAGTCTATTTCTATTTCATTCACACAGTCGCAGCATCTACGCTGCACTCTCACAGCTGCCACTCTTGTCTTTATTCATTCTTTACACATTTTCGCTCTTGTTTGTCATGCTGCTCTCTGACCAGAGTGCTGGCTGTGTAGGAGGCGCAGCTTCTTTTTCACATCCACACATAAACACATCTTTCTAGTGCTGGATGTTGTAAGACCTATCACGTCCGTGCGAGATCACAGAGGACCTGCGATCAGGTTCAGTTCAAGGTACCTCTGTGTTTAATGCTGCCTGCTTGAGACGGCGCGCCTGTAGGCATGCCAGACCCCTCTCTGCTCCCCCTCCCAGTCGCCCTCTCCGGGGGGCTTTCGGTCAATCTTTCCACGTCGGTGCATATTGTACAGCACTCGACCGTCTAAGCCCTCATCGGAGTAGTTACCCCCTCCTCAGACTCTCAGACCCCCTAGGCGGCTCCAGGCCTTCACCCTGACCGTTGCCTCACAACTCATGACAAGCACATGATGTGAGAATGGCCATGGCTCAGGTATTAGCTGAGACAAAAGCTGGAAAAAGAGACAAAGGGATAAAGGCCAGCTTGTTGCTCTGGTGAAACATTTGCGGTTATTCCCCCCAGAGCTTTGCCTCTGGGCCCAACCCGACCCACCAGGTTAGGGCCAGGCTGTAATATCTCATAATTCCCCAGAGCTTTATTTCCTGGTCTGTGTGTCTTTTTTTAATGCAGACCTTATAGTCGGTGTAATGTCATGAATAATGTATGAGCTGTATTGCCATCAACTCATCCCAACTCTCGCCTTTCATTAATGAGGAGACATGTTACACAATCTCTATTTTATACACATGGCATATGAGTTTTTGGGCACAGTAGAAGAAGGTGCATGCCAGAGATTGTGTCATAAATATGTTACAGCTCTGAAAAGTTGACTTCAGCTTGTAATAAATGTTTTAGAGATCCAGTGTGTGAGGGGAATTCAGTGGCGTCTAGAAGTGAGAAACTTCTCCCAGTTAGAATTCCTTCAGTTTTTGTAAGAGCCAGAAGTGTCATTCACTCTGCAGACATTAATTGTATTTACTATGTATGTACACTGGGTGGCACTCTATTGGCATTTTGAACATTAGAGTATAAAGGTAGGAACAATGTTGTTGCTGTTAGGTGTTGCACCCCAGAAGGGCAAAAGGTTTTTCAGTGTGCAATGTGCTGTGTGTTCGGGTTGAATGAAAGATAAAGAAATGGACGGGTGTGAATAAATACGATGATTATTCTGCAACTGGAGCCTGCAGTGTGTTGTCTGAACTCAACACAACCAAGGCTGCTGTGGCATCAACCGTGCAAAGTGCATCAGCCAGGTCAGGCCGGGTGACAAGTAATAAGCTTAGCTCCTATAGTTTTTATTGTTCAAGAGGTTTTTACCAGGAGCTGAATTGTCTTGAGAGATCTCTTCTCTCCAAAACAAACAGACTAGGTAATTTAAACTCTTACAAACACTGAATAAAGCAGTTTCATGTTTCTGCGATGCTGTTCAGCTCAAACAGGCCGCTAGCCCAGCACCTGCTAGTGTGTGCTCACCTTTTTCTGATCCATAAGTTCAGGAGCTTTTTACCAGGAGCTTATTAATCTGCAAAGGTGATTTAAACTAATAAAAAAAACATAATAAAGCTGCTGCTTGTTAAGAAAAATCAGTGCTTTTCTGACGCTTTTGTCGCTAACTATGCTAACTATGGTGGACAACGCAAAAATGTGAATGGCCCTGTCTAGAGCCAGTGTTTGGTTCGTCAGTTCTGCGCTGCTGTAGAAGCACTGTGGCACAAAATGGTGGACTCCGCTGACGAGGACCTGTTCCCTATGTAGATAAACAGCTCATTCTAAAGTAGACAGACAGGCCACTAGCCAAGCACCTGCTAGTGTGTGCTCACCTTTGTCATCTTTTCACTTCACTTCACTGGGAGCTAAATTATCCACAGAGGTATCCTCCTCTCCAAAACAAACAGACCCGGTGATTTAAACCGGTAAAAACACTGAATAAAGCAGTTGCGTGTTAAAAAATCTGCACTTTTCTGATGCTGTTGTTGCTAACTATGGTGGACAACACAAAAAAAAACACGAAAGGCCCTATCTGGAGCCATTGTTTGGTTTATCTGTTTTCTTTTCTGGGCTACTGCAGAAACATGGCAGTGCAACATGGCGATTTCAACGTACGAGGACCCGCTCCCTATGTAGATATAAACAGCTCATTCTAAGATAAGAAAAACATGACAATTCTTATTTTAGGTGATCAGTTGTTATATTATATTCAATTTTTGCCAATATATCCACAAATCCTACACAGTGGACCTTCAATATATATTTTGAAAAATTATGTGGAAATTTTTTTTATTTTTTATTATTTTTATTATTTTTTTGAAAAGAAAAAAATGCTTTACATCTTGTAAAACAGAAAATGAGAAGAAGCAAGGCTACATTGTAGTATCACAGATAACAGATCCTTTATGTCCATGATCGTCCTTAAAGATCACAAAGGTTCTTATGATCCTTGACTTTGATACCTGGAAATCCAGGGTATTTTCAAGGAGGGAGAAATCACACATTTAGAAACACATTGCTTACAGTGCTGGGTCACACTGCTGTGGCAGGCGAAAGAGCAACAGCATGATACGCCTTTGCCTCCTGATGCAGCGGTCTAAGTATTAGTTTCCTTCAGACACAAGTTTTATCAGGAGTGGACAGATTTTTGTGTCAAATGCAGCTTAGCAGAATTTGCTTGACATTTACTTTCATGGTGATAAAAAAAAAAACTTGTGGGTGTAAAATCATGTGCTGAGGATAGCGAATGCATGTCTTTTTGAAAGCGAGCATCTTATCCTTGTAAAGCTGTTATGTTGTGCACGTGTGTTGGCAGACGTGATGCCTCGTACGTGTGTTGTGTGCAAATGGGACGGACATTATTATAATTGCTTATTCTCCGAGGAATTCATTTGAGAGATTCTTGTTCTCCTTCCCCGCCCTTCTCCCTTCACATTTCTTCTCCCTCATTTCAGTCTCTTGACCTCGTGCGCCTCCTCCTCCCTCGGCTCTCTGTTTTATCTGCTCCTTCTTGTTCTCACTCCAAAAACTCCCATGACACAAGGAGGCTTTCTCTCCTCGCACTGATGTGGTGGAAGCATTTGGTTTATTAAAACACAGTATATACTGTAGCTCTGTATGTATTATATTGCAGCAGCTTCAGCGCTGATGTGTTATAGCTACTTTTTTTCTATTTTTCTTTGTCAGCTCAGCTTTTGATTAGAGAACAAATTGCTTCCCTACACGTTCTCTGCTCCCTCTGCGGGAAGACGCAGGGAGCTTGAGCTCCTGCTGGGACTCCTGAAGACTCTCTTCATTCTGGGCTAATGGAAGCAGAGGCTCTATAAGGACACTGTATTGTGTGTTACCAGTTTGAAGGATATGTAAGCTTTTATTTCTCTTTGCATCTCGGGCTCTCAACAGGCAGCAACAACTTAAAGGGACAGTTCACCCCAAATCAAAACTGCGCATTTCTCCTCCTGTAATGCTGGTTATCAGTCTAGTTTGTTTTGGTGTGAGCTGCAGAGTGTTGGAGATGTCTGCCTTCTCTCAAACATAATGGAACTAGATGGCACTCGGCTTGTGGTGCTCAAATCACCAAAGCAAATACATATGAAAAATTCAACAGCAATGTCTCTTTCCAGAAATCATCACCCGATTACTCAAGAACATCCACAGACAATGACAGCACTGCTGGAGACTCTGTGGGCAGGCAAATGCCAATCACTCCCATATATTTTGGTCATGTATAAAACCACAAACATTCTGGCATAGGATTATTCTCTAGGTGCCAATATCCCAAGGGACCCACAGGTTGTGTACTTGGGATTACTCAGGACAGGTTGATGGACATTGTAGAGGAACTATATTCCATGGAGAAACTGGACTAAAGCAAGGACACACGTTCAACGATGGGATAAATGGACAGACTTTAAGAGAAATGAGGGGTTATTTAATCAGCTGGTTTGAAGACGTGTATCAAAGAGTTGTAAACTGAAGGTGTAATATACTAAATAATTGAAAAATCAATAAATATAAAGTTAAAAAAAGATAATCCACAGACCTGGTTTTGAGCAGTTTCATGTAGGAACTATTTTCTTTCTACTGAACTACACCTGTGTAGAGGGAAGTATACAATCGTTTCATGGATGAGAGGCATGTGTATGTAGCACCACGGGATGTAAACAGTAATGGCGTCCTCCTCACCTGAGCTGTAATGTTAACTAGCTCAGTGGAGCTAGCAGTATCGAAGTGTTAATTAGTACAGATAGTAGATGCACGCTGCTGTAATTCAATAGAAAGAAAATAGTTCCTACATGAAACTGCTCACAACAAGGTCTGTGGATTATCTTGAGTAACTGGGTCATGATTTCTGGAAAGAGACGTTGCTGCTGATTTTTTCAAATGTATGTTTTTTGGCGCTTTGAGCTCCACAAGCCAAGTGCCATCTAGCTCCATTATATTCGAGAGAAGGCAGACATCTCTACGGCCGATATCTTCAACACTCTTGCTTATCATAAAGATGATGTTAAATGAATTGCAGTCGTCTCTAATCTTTTGTCGTTCTCTCTTTATCTTTCTCTCTCCTGCTGTCTTCTCACAGAGACCTTCGAGGCTCTGATGAGGCAGGCGGAGAATCACACGAACGTTGTCCTCCAGGAGTCGTACCGCAACATGGCTGACGAGGCCGTGGGCCCTGTGCGGGAACTCTTCACTGACATTAGTCTCTTCCTGCTGGGGTCTGAGCTCAACGTTGATGACTTGGTGCAGCGATTCTTCGAGGCTCTCTTCCCGCTGGTCTACAATCACCTCATCAACCCAGGCCTCAGCGACATATCGCCAGGCTACGCCGAATGTGTAAGGTCGTCCAGCCGGGATGTGAGACCGTTTGGTGGGGCGCCCAGCCTCCTGGCTGATCAGATTGCCCGCTCTGGGGTCTCTGGGAAGCTTCTCCTTCAGGCGCTGCACCTCGGTATCGAAGTCATCAACACCACAGACCACTTACCGCTGAGCCGTGAATGCAGGCGGGCCCTGCTCAAGATGCACTACTGTCCTCACTGCCAGGTATGGACACACATCTTCGAAGTTCATCGATCTGAATTAATGAACCTTTTTTAACTGGCATCACTGATCCCAAAATAATTTGCTCCACAGGGTTTAACCCAGTCCAAGCCGTGCATGGGTTACTGCCTCAACGTGATGCGGGGCTGCTTGGCAAGCATGGCGGAGATTGACACCCACTGGAGGGAGTTTGTTCGCTCGTTAGAGGGCCTGTCAGCACGGATGCACGGGCCTCAGGATTTGGAGCAAGTGCTTCTGGGAGTTCACACACTGCTTCACGATGCTGTCGGGCACGCACAGAAAAACGGACCCCGCCTCTCGGCACAGGTCAGATTATGTTTGAGGAAAGACCTTGTATTGTTTCGGATGATAACCTTACTGGGGCTCTGTGGGAGGTGAAAGCCAGTATCACCAGTGAACAGAAGAAGAATGAATATAAAGCAGTCAATCCTGATGAGATTTTTATTCTGATACACTGCTATTCCAGCTGCCAGCTCCATGTCAGATAGGTATATGTGTGGAGAGTTAAACTTCCAGACAAAGAAGGATTCAGGCCAAATCCAGGGTGTCAACAGCCACTCCTCAGGCTTACACTCATCCACTCAACCAAGAAGTCTTTATCCTTTAAATTTCAGTAATCTACAACAGTCCACCCCTGAAGTATAGCATGTAACTGTCTGTCTTTGTTCAGGTTATTTGTGAAATGACTGCCACAGGATGTGTCTTTCCTCCTCTGATAGAGACACAACAGCTCTATCTAGTGGCCGTCTAGCATCACTGCTGCTTGATAGGTCCCACATGCAATACATTTAGAAATTGGAGATGATAGGCTTGGCTGCACTAATGGCCTCAGTATAAACAGTTGTCACTCAAGCATCTAAAATAAGGAGTATTTGTCATGCACCAGCACAATTTGCCGAGCCTTAAAATGCATGTTTCTCCCTCAGTGTTTAGACTTAAATCTGTGCCTGTCTCATCGGGTAATAGGTGCACAAACTGTGTGGCCCACCGAGCAGGAGGCCTGCGCAGTCAGTCAGCATCCAGCACAGCAGCAGCAGCAGAGAATCCATCCCTCTTAAAGCTCTTGTCAGAGCGTCAGGGGACTCGCTCGCTGTCAGGAGGAGGTAAGAGGGTGAAAGATGCCAGATGTGTGTATAGACAGAAGAGTCATTTTCTGCTCTTAGTTCATTAGATCTACAATTAATATGTAAAACACTTTGTTAATCAAGTTAATTATCTGTTTTTTCAGGGACTTTCTGAACAGTCTGCGTCTGTACCGCACGTACTATGGTGGCCTGGCGGATCAGCTGTGTGTGAGTGAGCTGGCCTCCGGTGACGGGCTGTCCTGCTGGAACGGAACCGACATTGTGAAAAGGTTTGTTTTTAAAGCAGTCTATAATACAGGTAGAGGGTTAACAAAAAACAACAGCATCATGTGTCTGAGTCACAGCGAGCCTCCACAACATAATATTCTTCAAACCATTTAGTGACCCCTCATGGTTTGTATGGAAACATCTTTTTTCACCCATTTATTCAGGTGTTTTCTTTGAGTTGTCTCCCATCTGTTCAGACCAACATGGTGTCAATATTCGTCACTGGTAATTTTATAGTGTGTCACTGGTTCATATCTCGGTGACAACATGCAGATACACACACACACACACACACACACATTCAGTGTTATATTTGCATACGTTACCTCTCCAGTTTTAATCATTTAAGTATTTCATTTAACTTGTCAGCTAAGCGATGTGGTACTGAGACGATGCAGCTCCATTTTTAGGAACAGAATTCAAACATCAATTTCAGACTTTAGGCAATAATACATATTTTTCACATCCCTCCAAATCTGACCTAAGTTAAAGAGTAGAGATGCCACTGCTGTTGTTTAATTTGTGCAGTCCCTGAACTTCCTTGCAAATATTGGAGTGCACTTTCTTAGCATGGGTGTTTGACCTTCACTGTGCAGAAGGAGGTGTTTGAGTTTGACAATAGAAGACTGAGGGAACTGTTTTTGTGCTTACTTAAATTTTAAAAGTTTAAAGGAGTACTTCACCTACAAAATGACCATTTGTATATTAGTTCATAAAGAAAGCTTTCTTTTTCTCTCATGTATCCACGGTGATGAATGGAGAATCCAAAAAAGGTGAACATTCCTCATGAATTGATGTTAAAGTGTTGAACAACAGCAAAATTGTATCAAAATATCCATTTACAAACTTGTGCAGTCTAATTCAAGTCTCATTTATCCTGTCAGATGCTCGGTATTTCCCAAAAACATGCATTTTTGCTAAACATACAATTTCTAAATGACAGTACAAACAGTCTCATGCACGATTGAGTAGCACACCTGTGCCCATATGCACACGCTTGCTCAGGTGTGCTTAGGGCATGCTACTCATATTCAAAAGTATTTAACATAGTAGCCCATCTGTTTTCCATCAATTTCCTGTAACCGCTTATCCTGTAAGAGGTCGCGGAGGGGCTGGAGCCTATCCCAGCTGACATTGGGTGAGAGGCGGGGTACACTCTGGACAGGTCGCCAGACTATCACAGGGCTGACACATAGAGACAGACAACCATTCAAGCTCACATTCACACCTACGGCCAATTTAGAGTCACTAATTAACCTGCATGTCTTTGGACTGTGGGAGGAAGCTGGAGTACCTGGAGAAAACCCACGCTGACATGTTGCTGTGTATCTTTTATGTTTTTTTATTGTGTAGTTGACTGGCTGTAAACTTTTTCGTACGCTGCTGTCTTGGCCAGGTCTCCCTTGTGAAAGAGATTGTTTATCTAGTGATGGCCAAATGAAGCCTCATGAAGCATTTTCTTTATTTTCTGAGCCCACTAGATGGCACTCATGGCTAAAAGAGAGAGGCTCAAAGAATGGCAATTCAGTGTGCTTTCAACCTTCTGATGAACAAAAAGCGCCATCTAGTGGGCTCAGAAAATAAAGAAAATGCTTCATGAGGCTTCATTTGGCCATCACTACGTTTATCTCAACGGAACTTAACTGGTTAAATAAGAATTAAAAGCACTAAGCATACGACTGAATAAATGAGACTTGGATTAGACTGCACGAGTTGTGTGAGTAACAGATGTTTTGCTGTATTTTCCAGGGAAATAACAATATATCGATTCAGTGATAATGATCCAATATTGATAAAAAATGAAGACACTGATACATATCGTCATCTTCAAGATATGCCTTTATTTGAAATTCTTATGGGACATCTGTGTCAATATTTCTGTCCAAGGGCACCTCCTTCCTAAACATTGAAACAGTGCTCGCGGCCTGGTGCCAGGCAGACAGTGGCAAGCAGCCAGGAAAAGACAATGAGGATATTTACTGACATTGTGTCAGATTGATTTTAGGCCCCGAATTGAACTGATTCAAAATCATATCATGGCAGAGTAGACAACAATATGATTTTTGCTGATATCAAAGAATTGATATGATATTGTATCGTAATGAAACTTGTGTTTTATACCCTGAAGTTTTGCTGTTTTGAAATATGGTCCCTTATGACTTAAAAAGTCATGAAGAATATTCACCTTTTTGGATTCTTCGTTTGCCATGGAGGTAAGCAAGAAAAACTAAGTTTTCTTCACTGGTTCAAGGTAACACCCGGCGAGTAATTAATAGACAAATGGTCATTTTGCAGGTGAAGTATTCATTTAAGACGTCTACATACGAGTAGGGTTTTTTAAAATCAGTCTCGACGCCAATCCCAGTCCAGTCTGCAACTTATACGTCACATGTCCAGCAGAGCCACCTGTATGTGACTAATACAAAGACCCAGCAGCGCTCCAACTCCTTTGTCTTCTTAAAATAAACAATATTTTAAAAATGAATAGATTTTGGACATTTTTTCAATGAAGTGTAAGGAGTAGATGTAATTTTAAGAAATTCTACCAAGGTAAAATTGTGAGAGCGTGCAGCTCTTTGCCTAAATGTGCGGTCAGACCTGACTGACATCATTCCGACAAATAGATGAATCCAGCAATAAAACATATTCAGGTCGAGAAATGGTTTTAGTTTGTATGAAGGTACGGGTTTTCAGATATCTCACTCTGTGATCCTGGCTTGAGGCCATTTGTACACTGTTTGACCCTGGTCTAATACACACACCCGTCACATACACACCGCCCACACAAACAAGCTGACCCCGCTGTAGAATGCATCTGTTGACCGTTCGTGCTCACAGACATAGATCTCGGATATGAATGGTTGTGAACCGGAGCAGGCAAACTGGCCTCTTTCATAGTATCAGTCAGCGGCCTTGTCTCCATTACATCACAGCTCTCCATCTTACCTGCGCTGTCATCACTCAAGGACCCCCTCATTTATCCTCAGTCTGTGGTTGTTCCTCTTAACTGTCAGCCGCTGTCAGCACTGTAGAAATGGCAAGTGGACCTGTATTTCAAACTACGGTGATGTTGTAGTTGCCAGCTCGGGTTAGATGGCCCATTGTAAAGGATGACAGCCTTGTTGAGATCGTTTCACAGCTGCTGTGTGAAGGTAAGAAAAGGAGGAGGGTGGAAAAGGGGAAGAAGGTTTTTCACAGCCTTCTTAGCAATCGGCGAGATTCGCAGACGTCTGAAGAATGTGTGGTCGGCTGTTGCTTATCAAGAATGGCATTACTATGGAGACAGAGTATCAAGGTTAAGTTTCATTCTGGCATTGACAATTTACGCTTTTCATCTTTTGTTATTTTCCAACATAACACCTCAAGTTTCCATTACAAAGGAGCCAGCCATCTCTGAGAATAGAGATGTTTCTTATGTGCTGGAGAAAGAGGCAGGCCAGCAGGCTGCAGGCTGTCTATCATCTCTGCCAGCAGCCTCTGGGAAATGTTTATGGTCTGCGGGCTTCTCTCAGCTCTCTAACCCTCCTTCCTCTTTTTCCTCATTCACGCTAACACTTATTTATAGAGACTCGTTCACCCCAGGTTCACTCACAGGTTCTCATTTTGGTTCGGTCATTACCAAAAAAACAGCAGAGGAAGAAAGCTGAAGAATTGGGAGACATTAAGAATCTGGGGAGACGAGGCTCTGAGGAGGCTATCGAGCCGAGTCCCTGCAGCTTAGCGGGCTTCCTGCAGATCTACAACCCTGCGCTGCTTTCTATTAGCCTAGAACCATAGATGAGTGGCTGGGAGTCAACACAAGTTGAGACAAAAGCAATAAATAACCTCCTGCCTACGGGTCATAACCCAACATCCACTGAGAGAGAGGGGAATAAAACTCACTGCCGGATGGTGGCTGATTTACAGAAGCTTATCGAGGCCTCCGAGACCTTAAACGATTGGTTCAGTTGCTGTGTGTGTGTGTGTGTGTGTGTGTGTGTGTGTAACTGTACATTCGCATGTGTGTGGATACCTTTTATAACAGCTCTTTGTGTGTGCTGGCACAGATTGTTTTATGGCCTTAAAGAAGTAGTGAGTTGCACCAGAGCTTTGTCTTATTTAATAAAAAAGGACGAACATGTGCACACACACATACATGCACACACACGCACGCACACACACACACACACACACACACAAAGAAAACATGAGCCTGAGATTGAAGGGAGATTTAATGCACGTCCTCATCTGGGTCCCTGGTAAACAAAAAGATAAAGAACAATCAGATAAGATCATAGAGGAAGAACACAAGCTGCTTTCATCTCAGTGTCTGTGTGAATGTAGATGATGGGGTCTCGCTTCAGGGGAGATTTGGTAAACACATTCTTTCTCTCTGTCTCTTTCTGGTTTGTCCCTCGCTTACACATTCATACTAGGACGGGGGGAGAGAAAAAAGAGATTGGATGTTAAATTTTCTGATTAGTATTATGGCTTATTAACAGTTTTGTCTTTTGTGACAGCTAATTTCACCTGAAATAATCTCACACTGAGTCTCCACGTTGAATTGAAGCTGGTGAGGTATAATTACGCTCACAGCAGAATGTGAATGATGCTAAATAACAGGGAAAAAAGATCCAATTTACAATATCTGCAGAGCAAATGACTGGAGATCACACCTTAATGCTGTTTTGGTACCCTTAGATATATGTCTAAGTACCAAAAGCTGATGTCTAATACCGTGTAAATAATAATTAACCAAGTATTTACTGATTTAAAGCTACATTTTAAGAGTTATTGGCCCTCGAAACTGAGTGTCCGGTCATTTCCACAGAAAGCTCAGCATTTATCAATGGACGTGAGCAGAGTCTGATCTAATCTCACATCAGGGGTTTCATTTATAAATATTGTGTAAGCACAAAACCAGGCCTGAAAGAGGCGTACGCCACTTCCCAACGGAGAAGTTGACATCTATAAAACAGACCTGATGGGATAAACTTTGACCCATGCTTACGAACGTTTTGGA